TGGGGGAGGAGACAGGGTCTGAAGGGAAAGGTGGGAGAAGCAAAGGGCTGCCCGGGACAGAGAAGGAAGGGGACACTCACCCAGCCTGGATGGCAGCTCTTAGGACCCAGCGCTGGTGGCAAGGAGCCCCCAGCTGGGGCCTTTCATCCTCCTGGCCAGCGTGGAGCCCTGGGAAGGGGAGGGGGAGAGCAGAGCTAGGCGGGGAAGGCCAGGGATCTGGGTCTGGACTGAGAAGGCTGGGGTTGCAGCTTCCCGGACCGGCCCCTGCCCCCAGCATTCTACCAGCTGTGTGGCCGAATCCATGTTTAATGACTGTCCTCCCGGGAAACCCAGGGCCAAGGGCTTCCTGCCGACACCATCTCTACTCCCAGCTCCCCCCAGTGCAGTCCAACAGCCCAGCTCCTCCTTCACCCCCACCCTCAGCAAGTCTCCAACCCCGCCTGCCTGCCAGGTTAGGGATCTCACGGGTCAGGCCGCTGCCAGGATCCGGGCCGTTTCCTGGTGCAGGAGCTGGGAGGGAGGGAGAGAGGGAGGAAGGGAGGGAAGGAAGGAGGGAGGAGAAAGGGGGGGGTGGCGGGAGGGAGGGCCCGGCGCCGGGTGATGATGGGGCCCAGAGATGCGTCCAGAGAGAGGGGCGGGGCTGGGAAGCAAGCTTGGGAAGGGCCACAACTCCGGAAGAGAGAGGGCCGCTGTAGGCCATGAAGAAAGAGCAGGGCAGAGAGGACACAGAAGGCCAGGCTGGGCTCCTGTGACTGAAGGCTGCCCAGAGAAGCCGGCAAGACCTCAGGAAACCTCGGAGTAAATTCACCATTTCCAGAAGGTCTCTGATGTTTCATACACTTGTTGAATTTTTTCCAGCCCTGGAGTGGATGCCCGGATTAGAGGAGCAGTTCCCATTCCAGTGGGAACTGCCTGCCAGGTGTCTCGCCCTGTGGGACTGGCAGACACGACACGGACACTGAACAGTTCACTCCCTCTTTTCTCCAGGACCTTTAACCCAGTAGTCTCTTTGCGGGCTAGGGCTTTAGCCAGGCATCAAGACTTGGACCGCAAGTAGTTTCTGCAGGTAACCTTTCTTTACCTTCTTTCATTTTTTTTGTAATCAGATTGGTTTTCTTTTTCATTCTTTTTACCCCACACATGGACTTATTCTCATTATGACAAGTTCAAACAATATAGAGGTATAAGGGGACCAAATACAAGTCCTCAATCTCCCACCTTCCACCCCTTGCTCAATTCTGCCTCCCTTTCTGGAGGATGCCAACCAAGGTCAAGGTTGATGGTTACCCTTTCAGATTTTATATGTGTGTGTGTGTATGTATGTATGTCTACACACACATACATACAGGTATGCCTATTATTTATACAGGGCAGTTCACAGGATGTGAAGCAGTGTGACCACAGGTGATCCTCAGGAGGGCTCTCTCAGGCATTCTGACTGGGCCCCACTGGTTCTTGCACTCGCACTTCCTTCCACTCCGTTCGGAGGGACCTCCACCCAAAAGCTAGAAAGAGGCAACCCAATTTTCCTTTCCTGCTGGTTCCCTTTGCTTCTACCTGGGGTCCAAGCCTTGATATTCCTACCTGCCCTTACAGTCTCTGGAGAAGAAAGTGTTTCTGTAACAATAATAGTAACAACTGGGGTGCCTGGGTAGCTCAGTGGGTTAAAGCCTCTGCCTTCGGCTCAGGTCATGATCCTGGGGTCCTGGGATCGAGCCCATTGGGCTCTGCTCAGCGGAGAGCCTGCTTCCTCCTCTCTCTCTCTGCCTGCCTCTCTGCCTACTTGTGATCCCTGTCTGTCAAATAAATAAATAAAATCTTTAAAAAAATAATAGTAACAACTAATACATTTTGAGGACTTATTAGGCGCTAGGTGCTTTCTTTACATGCATATTTATCCTCAATCCAATCCCTAAGCTGTTTTAGTCTCATTCTATAGGTGAAAAGAGTGAGGCTTAGAGAGGTTATTTACCCAAAGCCATATACTCAGAAACTGGTACTCAACTTTGTCTGACTGTAAAGTTTGTCTTAACTTTAAGTGTGTTGCTAGAAGGTCATCTCTCTGCTTCGGATAATCTACGTTGTTATGACATTGACGAGTCCAAATTCAGTCCTCCCCTCCATTCTGAAGGCACAGCAGACTGCACACCTTTATGACTGTATCCCTCAACCATCCTCCTTATTTCTTTGCTCTTGGGCTGATCATTCTAGCCGCCACAGGCAAGTCTGCCTTGCTGCATTATTCAGAGAATAACCTGGTCCATTCCTTCTTTTGCAATACTGATTTCTTCTGAGACACTTAACTGAAATAACAACACTTTTAGGTCTCAGGATCTAAGTATATTTCTGTCTGCCCTCCCATTTTATTTATAAGCCCTGTGAAAGCAGGAATGGAATTTTATTCACTGTTATGCCCTTCAGGCCTAATAGACCCTCAGTAAATGTTGACTGAACAAATCATTCAGCGCGTACTGTAAGCCTACTCCGATGTTTGAAGATAACTGTAGTGGCTATTTAAGAACAAAGACTGAACTGTGAAGAAGGAAAAAAAAGAAAGAAAGAAAGAAAAGAAACATTGATTTGGAAGAAAGGTTCAATGTCAGCCTGAACAGAACTGCTAGGCCAACACAAATTACACCTGGTCCAAAGCTGTGTACCTCAAGGATCTTCTCAGACCAACACCACGGAGCCAAGGAATGGCAGCTCAAACTATAGACAAAGCACAAGTGTTTTTATCAGAAAACCTCAGGCCATATAGGCCACTTTGAACTTATCTATTTCTTTAATTATATATATATGTATATATATTTTAATTAATATATACATATTAAAGATTTTATTTGAAAGAGAGATATATAAGGAGCACGAGCAGGGGAGGGACAGAAGGAGAAGTAGACTCCTTGCTGAACAGGGAGTCCAATGTGGGGCTGGATCCCAGGACCTGGGATCATGACCTGAGCCAAAGGCAGATGCTTAACCAACTCAGCCACCCAGGCACCCCTCAACGATATATCTTACAAGAGCAAGGAAGACAGTTTTCTTTTTCTTTCTTTTTTTTTTTTTAAAGATTTTTATTTATTTATTTGACAGACAGAGATCACAAGTAGTCAGAGGCAAGCAGAGAGAGAGGAGGAAGCAGGCTCCCTGCGGAGCAGAGAGCCAGATGTGGGGCTCGATCCCAGGACCCTGGGATCATGACCTGAGCCGAAGGCAGAGGCTTTAACCCACTGAGCCACCCAGGCACCCAAGGAAGACAGTTTTTAAATGCTTGATTGTAACACAAATTAGTGTAACATTATTTTACACCATAAAATAGGAAAATAATAGGTCCATGGATTATATATACATGTATAAAATCAGAAAATAAAACTACTTTAAAAATGATTCCCAGGGTGCCTGGGTGGCTCAGTGGCTTAAAGTCTCTGCCTTTGGCTCAGGTCATGATCCCAGGATCCTGGGATTGAGCCCCGCAGGCTCTCTGCTCAGCAGGGAGCCTGCTTCCTCCTCTCTCTCTTCCTGCCCCTCTGGTTACTTGTGATCTCTGTCAAATAAATAAATAAAATCTTTTTTAAAAATTTAAAAAAAGTAAAAATGATTCCTGGCTAATTAGCATTCCTAAGGTTAAAATGGAGTTAAAATGCAAATAAGAGAGGTGCCTGGGTGGCCCAGTGGGTTGGGCCTCTGATAGTATGTGTCTCATGGTTTATTTCCAGCTTAGTCACTTGAGATTTTACAGTTAAACTATTCTGCTGTTTTAAATTTAGAGATTCCATTTCTACTCTAAGATTCCTCATTACAATACTCTGAAGATGTTAACTATTACTACTAAATGTTTTAATCTTATATAACCAAGTTGGTAAGAGTGGGTTCTAGCACTGGACTGCTGATGTTCTAATCCCAGGTCCTCAATCATCGCCTATGTGACTCTGGGCAAGAGTCCCAGCCCCTCTCTTCTTCAAATTTCTCACCTGTAAAATAGGCATACTAGTACAACCTACTCTTTTGATGGGGACTTACAGGAATTAAAATTTGCAAAACTCTTACAGGCGTACCTAGTATGTACATTGTGTTATACAAAATCAGTAGGGGATTTATGGGGGAAAAAAGAACTACACAAAATACTTCACTTTTTTTTTTTCACTAATGTAGAACAAAATGAAGGAGAAAAAAAAAGCCAGCTCTGTGCCCCTGTTGAAAGCTCCCAGTGGAACTAGAACTCCACAGTCCCAACTTCAAGAGAGTTGTGTGTTCGTTCATTCATTCAATAATTTGAGAGCCTACTATGTGCTGCAACTATGTGTTGAAACTGTGACTCAGACACAGCCTCTGTCCTCAAAGGAATTGCAGTGGGATTACAGATCAGAACTCTAATCTACTTTTTCACAAATGGGAAAACTGAGTTCCAGAGAAATTATGCCATGCTCACGGTCACACAGCAAAATACTACCAGAGGTGAGACCAGAGCTGTCTTCCGACAACTCAGTTCAGAACTCTTTTCTAATGGACCACCCATCCTTTTGAGGGCCACACTTTAGTTTCTATTTGAGACACTACCTAGTTTTTACGACCTTTCCTTCTGTGCACTCCCTGTAAGCCCCCTCCAAAACCTGGAGCCTAGGGTTTGGAAAAGAAAATGGTGAGTCCTGAAGAGAAAGTCACACGCTGGGCATATTTAACCATCCTTAGCAAAAAAATGAAAGGTTACTCTGTCCTCCCTTAAGCATTAACTCTTCCCATGCCAGAGAGGTTGAAGCCGTTAAAAAAAAAAAAAAAAAAAAAAGCCTGAATGGTCTCAGGACCGGAAGGTGGATCCCCGCCCCCTGGTACGCTGCAAAGACAGATGGGGAGCCACCTGTCAGAGGACTGTGGGCGGGGGCCCGGCCGAGAGGGCCGCGGGACTGGAGAGTGAGCGCCGCTGAGCGCACGCTCAGAGCAGACAGCTTGCAGGAGGCCGGAGACGATGGTCTAAAATCCTGAGAGCTGACGGTCAGAGCGGGGGCGGGGGGTAGGTTGGAGGGGAAGGTAGTCACGGAGGGGTGACAGCTACAGGAGGTGGAGGATCCTGGAGGTAACAGCAAGGAGAGTACGCAACGGCGAGGGGCGGCTTCTGCGCCGACGCCGGGAGGTCAAGCCAGAGGAAAGCAGGGGAACGCTGCGGCGTTGCGGGCTTGCCCCGCCCGGGCGGGGGGTGCCATGTCTCGAGAGCGGCCCCCCCGCACCGACATCCCCCGCAACCTGAGCTTCATAGCCGCATTAACAGAGCGTGCCTACTACCGCAGCCAGCGGCCCAGCCTCGAGGAGGAGCCGGAGGTGGAGCCAGGCGAGGGTGGGACGCGCCTTGGGGCCCGATCCCGCGCTCACGCTCCGAGTCGGGGTCGCCGGGCCCTTTCTGCACCTGCCGGAGGCGGCGGGGTCCGGGCGCCCCGCAGCCGCAGCCCGGACACCCGTAAGAGAGTGCGTTTCGCCGACGCGCTTGGGCTGGAGCTGGCCGCGGTGCGCCGCTTCCGCCCCGGAGAGCTGCCCCGGGTGCCCCGCCACGTGCAAATCCAGCTGCAGAGGGACGCCCTCCGCCACTTCGGGCCGTGCCAGCCTCGCGCCCGCGGCCTCCAGGTAGGCGGGCGGCAGCGGCACGCCCCTTTCCCGGGACCTCCCCGAGCCGGCCGCCGTGGGCGTGTGGGAGAGGATTTATCACGCAACACCCATGTCCCTCCCCAACCCTAGACTTAGTTTTGCTCATTCCTTTTGGGGCCACTCTCTCAGCTGGGCTCCACTCCGACTGCCCCACGCCGGGATCGGCCTCGGACTGGCCCGGTGCCGCGTCCTGACCCCGCCCCCCGTTTCTCCTCTCCTCTCTCCTCCCCTTTCCCCCAGGAGGCGCGCGCCGCCCTGGAGCCGGCCAGCGAGCCCGACTTTGCCGCCCGCTTGCAGGCGCAGCGCATCTGCCTGGAACGCGCCGAGGCGGGCCCGCTGGGCGTGGCCGGGAGCGCGCGCGTGCTGGACCTGGCGTACGAGAAGCGCGTGAGCGTGCGCTGGAGTGCCGACGGCTGGCGGAGCCAACGCGAGGCACCCGCCTTGTACGCCGGCCCGGCACCGCCCCCGCCGCGCGCAGACCGCTTCGCATTCCGCCTTCCCGCGCCACCCATTGGGGGCGCCCTGCTTTTCGCCCTGCGCTACCGCGTGACCGGCCACGAGTTCTGGGACAACAACGGCGGCCGTGACTATGCTCTACGAGGGCCCGAGCATCCCGGGAGTGGCGGAAACCCGGAGCCCCAGGGATGGATCCACTTTATCTGAGACGCCTGGGTCGACGGCGGGAAAACCAAAGGCACCCAGGGGCTGGGGGAGCCCGAAGATTTGGCGGGGAGGAGTGAAAGAAACGGAGATTGGCTGGGAGCTGTCCAAGAGAGTCAAGTGGGGGAGGGCGAGGAGGATGGGAAAAATCAAAACGGTGTGGGGAGTGGGCGGAATCAACGAAAGTCGGGGAGGTCGGGGTGGAAAAATAGAGTTGGATGTGAGTGATAGGAACCCAAGGCATAGAAGAAAGGAAACCAGAAAGGGCGCTGGAAGGATTAGGAAAAAAGCAAAAGACGGGTTTGATGGTGATACCGTGAACTAGTCCTGGGAGAAAGTAAGTGGGTTCGTCAGACTTAAGCAGATAGTTAGGGTACCTCTTTGAGATTGAGGAGGTACTTTGTTTGAAGTAGGAGTCCACCCTGCTTAAGTCATTTGGATTGCGAGCTCATTCCCTCTTCTTACCCGCCGTTGCCACCTCAGGTCCCTCAGTCCTGCCCATCCTAGTTTTATACTCAGCCATAATTGCCTTGCTTAAGTCCCAGGAACTTGGCCATTGCTTCCCAGCCCCTGGCATTATGACAGGATTCCCTTGTCATTCCCGACGATCCTGGGCTTCATTTCCCCCTGACTGGCTGGGGAGTAATGGCAGGCTGCAATCAGAGCTCCTACCTCCTCCTCCAGGCAGCCCTGGGGATTAAAATGAAGGCTAAACCAACTCCAGGCCTGTCCTCGTAGCCAAATAATGCCGTGCCTGAGGAGCTGGTAAACTCAGGGGCTTCCAGAAAAATGCCAGCCTTACCTTTCTGGAGTGCCTTTTAATGACCTTTAAGCACTTTATGCACTGTATTTGTCAAGAAACAGTGAATCACAAGAATAACTATCATGATTCTGCTTTGGGAGGAAAGAGTCACTGACTAGCTGTATTACTTTGGGCAAAGTTATTTCACGTCTCTGGGCCCCAGTCTCCTTGGGAAATTAGATTTTAACTAGGTGATCTCTCACAGTCTCTTCTTGCTTTGACATTTTATGATCCATGAGTGTAGATAAGAAGCCACATTCTTCAACCTACATTTGGAGTGCTACAGTTCAGAACACACAGTACTCCCAACATTTGGTTGGGGCTGAGGATGGGTCTCCCAGTTTCTGACACAGATGTTCCAGAGCCCAGGAAGCATCCCACAACCAGCTGCAGCCTGATGGTATTCCAAACCCTTTTTCAAACTGCAGTTCATCCTCTGCCCCATACTTTTTGCTCTTGCCCCCCCAGACTTCCAGTCTAGGTACTTTGAGACAGTTTTGGGCAGGTGCATATCTATTGGGGAAAATGATTTTGGGAGCCCCAGAGATGAAACAATGCTGAGGATCTCTTGAGGATAAGGGTTTATGAATATAAGAAATGGAAAACATTTCAAATCAAGAATCAAAGCCACTTAGTAATTAAATGGCACCAGAAGATGGCAGTCTGTTCATACCCTGAGAAAGTGAAATGGGGAAGCTGGACTCTTCTATCCATTCACCATCATGCCTTAGGTCTCCCTTCCTGGTTAACCTCTGTTGGTAGTTTTTCCTTTCCTCTTACCCTATTCCTAAGCTCTTTGCTTTCTTCTTTCCTTGTCCCTCTCTCATCACTTTCATTTTTCTTTTGATATATAGGGTATTTACCTTCGTTTTCTCTTTTCCATTTGCCTCCATCTTCATCCTTGTTGATCTCTGCTATTCCTTCTCCCTCCAGAAGGGGTGGAGAACCTACTTCCTTTTCTCCAAGACCATGATTCATCCACCTTCCTCCCTCAGGCTCCTTCTTGACAGTCTTCTAGAAGGGAGAAGAGGGAAAAGAAGCAGTTCCTGATGCAGATGAACAGCCGCTCCCAGGTAAACCAGCTCCCCCACACCCTTTTCTATCTATTACTAGTTTCTCAAAAATGTGTGAATCCCCCTCTTATGACCGAGTCAGAGAGTGCATGCATACATGCCCATACATGCATTCGGAACAGAGTATGGGGCATGTTACCAGGCCCCTCCTTTCCAAAGCTTTAGTCCTTTGAAGGAAGATGGCCAAAAGAGAGGAACCCCGAGTCGCCCCTCAAAGAAGTGCCGGTTTAAACAGCATCCTTACGTGAAGAGGAAAACAAAGAATTTCATGCAACTTGTGGATCACCTTCAGGTCAAATTTCCAGCAAAGTGAAGAAAGAACCTCCTGGAAGCCACCAAGCAATGCGCTTTTTAGTCATCAGTGAAGAGCCCAAGGAAGGATGATGGAGAGGGAGCCTAGGTCGGGGCTCAGTGTATACTAATCTCTTGCCTAATGTGTTTGCACTACTGTCATGTCGTATTAACAATCGTAATAGCTCACATGTACTTATCTACTCAAATCTGGTGTCTTGCATGCATTACAATCTTCAGAACAACCCTATCAGTTGAGAAATATTATCCCTGTTTTAGAGATGAGGAAACCGCTCAGAAAAGCTCAGTAATTTGTTCAAGATCACATCGCTGGTAAATGGCACAGCTAGGGTTGTGAACTCAGGATCTCCAGAGCTTCTGTGTATAACCATGTTACTACATTTTTTCCTTCAAAAACAAAACTGAAAACTTTGCCATATGTAATCTCTTATTAGGAAAAGACCACAGTTTCTAACTTCCCATCCTCCCAGTTTACCGAAATGGCTTAGAGAAGGCAAAGTAGAGGGTCCAAGCTCCCATGCAGGAGCTTGCTCCTGTCTTCTGTACCAGTGTCCCAGCTCTGCAGAATCAGCAAGGGGACCACACTGCCTGCCTGCTAGAGAACTCGGGAACCCATGTGAACTTCAGCTTTTCCTTACATTGGGATTCTTTCCTGCCCCTAACCAACATTCTGCACCTGTTGGTGTGACACCCTTTCCATTCCCCTGACCAATCCCTAAAGTTTCCATTAAAGGGTATCCCTGAGTAGGACAACTGCTGAATGGTCTGTGCTTGGGCTCTCTCTGCGAGCCTGGATATTGCTGAGTGGATAAATGTAAACTGGTTGGAGACAGAGAACCCCCTGAGTTTTTTCTTTAAGAAGAGCTATGACTTCCAACCCCCTACCTGCCCCGTCATTCTCAGCTTTATAGAACCAACACCTGAACCTTCTAGTTCTTTCCATATAGAGCTGCCCCAGGGCTTGGGGTAAGCTGATAGTCTAATCTGATACGGGAAGCACTAGGAGTTTGGTGGAATCTTTAGAAATGTATTAGATGTTATGGGGATGGGTCCTTTCCCCTGAAGGCTGACTATATGAGCAGGAGCAGTTTGGTGTATACAGGTCAGCTGTGGACCAGGCAGTGCTAGAAGAGAAAACACTACCCTGGTCCGGGGCTTGGGTCCTTGAAGCAACACAACTAGAACACTTTTGCCTATTTCTCTCATCCAGACCTCAGATGTCTTCCTATACTTGCTTGTCTGACAGCCTTCCTCTCGTACCTTTGTTTCTCTTCATGACTGTAGCTCATTTCTCTTCACAGTAAGCTCTGGCTCCTGAACTTTCCAATCGAACTCCCACATCCCCTTGCTTCTAACACCTGCATTTTCTCTGGAGCTCCTCCAGATCTCTGGGTCCTTGCAATCAGCAAGGTCATACAATCAGAGACCTGGAAAAGCTTGTCTTTAGAGATCACTGGGTCCATGCTCCAGTACAAATGAGGACACAGGTCCAGAGATGAGAAGATTTCAGCAGGGTCAGAGAATTTCTTAGTGCAGCTCAAGATGGGGCTTAACCCCAGCCCTCCTGACCATATCCCACTCCCAGGCTACAAAGCGGCCTCTGTAGTCAGACCTGTAATTTTTCATGGCAAGGGATAATATTACAAATGTTTCATTTTCTGCTGCTAGTTTCCATTCCCTTCCCTATCCAGGCATAAAAAGAAACAAAAGGCACTTGTAGTTTTCTCTGTTTTCCCAGCTTGGGCACTTCTTCGGGTGATATTGCTAAGGAACAGTGAAGTTGCTAAAAAGACTGAATAATCCACCCATTGACTAGCTAACCTGAAGAGGAATTGAAAGTTTGCTATGTGGATCTCCCCCGACCACTGTTCTCATCAGGCTCTCTCAGTGTCCTCACCCTCTTCACAGTGCAGCCCTGTTCACTGGGCCCCAAACCCACGAGTATTGTGCCTCACTTCAGCTTCCTCATGCAACTGCCCTCCCTTCTGGATAAAAGACCTCATACTTGAAATAAAGTCGAAACATGAAAGTATATCATAAAATACTGAGAAGTATTGTTTGTTTGGGGTAGAGGGTGGCAAGAGACCAAGAAATGAGATTCCTCTCTCCCACCCCCTGGTATCTTGGTCATCTCATTTCTTAAAAATCTGTCTGCTGGTATCCTATTGCTCTGTAAAAGTTGGGTGGGCAAAAGATACGGAGGAGTTGGGCAGCCCTGGTATAAGACACCCCAATAGAATCCCACCACCATATTGGGTAGTGGTAGGAAAGTTATCAGGACCCAGCTTTAGGGCCCTGGCGCCCAGCACCAGTTCCTGGTGCAGTTAAAGGGTACAGCTTGGGTAAAAGTGCCAAATTTCCCCTCAGGTTGGGGGCGGGGGCTCTTCTTCCTTAAGGGGGCCATCTAAGTTACATCCTGCTCCGTAAGCACTGAAGGAAAGGGCAAAGCATAGGAAATATGATGACAAGGAAAAGCAAAGACCTCTGTCTAATCCAGAATGGAGCAACAGGTATTTGAGACATCCTCGAAAAAGATCAAGTTCTAACATAATATTGACTCCCACATCACCTGAACAATGAGAGAATCCAGTTACCCACAAAATAATCAGATGCTTCTTTTTACTTTTTTTTAAAGATTTCATTTATTTATTTGACAGAGATCACAAGTAGGCAGAGAGGCAGGCAAGAGAGAGAGAGAGAGAGAGAGGAAGGGAAGCAGACTCCCTGCTGAGCAGAGAGCCCAATGCCGGGCTCAATCCCAGGACCCTGAGACCATGACTTGAGCCGAAGGCAGAGGCTTAACCCACTGAGCCACCCAGGCGCTTCTCAGACAGTGTTTCTTTTCTATTTATTTATTTATTTATTTATTTATTTGACAGACAGAGATCACAAGTAGGCAGAGAGGCAGGCAGAGAGAGAGGAGGAAGCAGGCTCCCCGAGAGCAGAGAGCCCGACGCGGGGCTCGATCCCAGAACCCTGGGATCACGACCTGAGCCGAAGGCAGAGGCTTCAACCCACTGAGCCACCCAGGCACCCCTCAGACAGTGTTTCTAATAGTGAAGTCTAGCCTGAGAATAATCAGATGCCTCCTCATTACATCATAATGGCCAAGTTGTGATGTCATGGCAGAGCACCTACACTTACGTTGTGAAACTAGATATGCTGAAGGGTAGAGTCAGCATGAGGAGCAGACACCCAAAGAGAGGTAAGCAGGGCTTCCCAGGGTTCTCCGTGGCTTACTGCCTAAGGTCCCTCTGTGGCCAAAATGCCTTTCCAGGCCTCTTGTACCTTAGTTTAGTGCTAGGTCTGTCTGAAATCCTTCTTCCACAAACTCCACTGCAGCTTTTGCTATCCCAAATCTTCAATAGTTGCAGTTCTGATTGGTCAGCCCTCAGCTTTTGTATTTCTTAGGAGACAGGGCATAGAATGGTGAGGCATGGTTCTCCTAAGTGAGGCAGAAACTCACCATATCCATTTGGCTTGTCCCAGGTACATCCAAGTTTTGGAGTGCCTTAAATACAACTTTTGGAGCCTTTTAAAAGAAAAATAAATACATTAGGCCCTAAGGTGAAAACTTTAGAATGAAAAAGATAAATTAGGGGCGCCTGGGTGGCTCAGTGATTAAAGCCTCTGCCTTCGGCTCAGGTCATGATCTCAGGGTCCTGGGATCGAGTCCCGCATCGGGCTCTCTGCTCAGCAGGGAGCCTGCCTCCTCCTCCTGTCTCTCTCTGCCTGCCTCTCTGCCTACTTGTGATCTGTCTGTCAAATAAATTTAAAAAAAAATCTAAAAAAAAAAAGATAAATTAAAATTTTTTTAATTTTTTTTAAAGATTTTATTTATTTATTTGACAGATAGAGATCACAAGTAGGCAGAGAGGCAGGCAGAGAGAGAGGAGGAAACAGGCTCCCCGCTGAGCAGAGAGCCCGATGTGGGGCTCGATCCCAGGACCCTGGGATCATGACCTGAGCCGAAGGCAGAGGCTTTAACCCACTGAGCCACCCAGGCACCCCCTAAATTAAAATTTTTAAGGAGCTGACACCACAATATAAAAAAAAGAATCAAGGGCCCCTGGGTGGCTCAGTGGGTTAAAGCCTCTACCTTCATCTCAGGTCATGATCCCAGAGTCCTGGGATCGAGCCCGCATCGGGCTCTCTGCTTAGCAGGGAGCCTTCTTCCCCCTCCCTCTCTCTCTGCCTTGCCTCTCTGCCTACTTGTGACCTATGCCTGTAAAAAAAAAAAAAAAAAAAAAAAAAAAAATCTAAAAACAAAATAAAATAAAAATCAAGAAAAATAACAAATTTTAGAAATTACCTACTTGACTAGCATTTTTTTTTTTTTTACAATTTTGTTTTTGGGTGCATGCTCCTTGATAGATTTTTCATATTGATTATTATAATGTTTTCTATAAGAAGTACAGAAAAGTAATTCAGTTTTCTAGATGATTGCTTTTTTTTTTTAAGATTTTATTTATTTATTTGACAGACACAGAGATCACAAGTAGGCAGAGAGGCAGGCAGAGAGAGACAAGAGACAAGGAAGCAGGTTCCCCGCTGAGCAGAGAGCCCGATGCGGGGCTCGATCCCAGGACCCTGGGATCATGACCCGAGTCGAAGGCAGAAGCCTTAACCCACTGAGCCACCCAGGTGCCCCTACATGATTGCTTTTTTAAAAAAATCTTAGTGATTTAGAAAAATTTCACCTTCACACTTTATAAGTGATAATGTTACATGATTTTTTAGATTTTTGTCAAACTTGAAAAAAAAACTATCAAATTTCTTTGATACATGTGTAAAATTTCAGAGCATTACAAATTTGGAATGACTAATATACTCTGGATTGTTGACATTAGGATTAATGTATCTGTATTAGTCTGCTAGAGCTGCCATACAAAATACAACCCACTGGGTGGCTTAAAATGAAATTCTCTCTCAGTTGTGGAGGGTAGAAGTCTGAGATCAACATATCCACAGGGTTTACTTAATTCTGAGGTTCCTTTCCTTAGAGTCATCTTCTCCCTATGTCTTCCCATGGTCTTTTCTATGTTCATGTCTGTGTCCAAATTTCCTACTATAAAGATACCAATCATATTGGATTAGGACTCACCCTGAAGACCTCATTTTTTTAAAAGATTTTAATTATTTGTCAGAGAAAGAGAGAGCAAAGGCAGGCAGAGTGGCAAGCAGAGGCAGAGAGAGAAGCAGGCTCCCTGCTGAGCAAGGAGCCTGATGTGGGACTCCATCCCAGGACCCTGGGATCATGACCTGAGCTAAAGGCAGCCACTTAACTGACTGAGCCACCCAGGCATCCCTGAAGACGTCATTTTAATGTCATCACTTCTTTATAGAACTTATTTCCAAATACAGTTATATTTTAAGGTATCTGGAGTTAGGACTTTATCATATGAATGTGGGGTGGGGGGAATGGACGACATAGTTCAGCCCCTAACGCCATACTGGCTATTAAAGTATTTACAGAAATTACAGCAAACCATGGTCATATACCTATTCAACCCAAACTAAATGTATCCCCAACTCCATTTCTCTAGCCAATCTCAAAATACCCATGGCCTTTCCACTGCCACCTGACAGAAGGAGAAATATAATGGAGGGGAAATCAGAAAGGAAAGAGACATCAATCTTAGCGTTTCAGGTTAAATATTTTTTTTCAAATTTTACAAAAAGCCACGACCACATTAACACACCCTGGAGCTTCTCCAGTGCTTTGGAAGAGGTCTGTGCAAGAAGTGACCTTGAAACTTAGTTTCCTTAGGTATATGGTAAATGTGCCTCTGGTTAATCCTACTTATATCTAAGCCATGCAAAGGAAGAGAGAATTTTCACCAAAGATGGGGAATTAACATCTCTACATTGAGGATGACAAGTCCTCATTCTTTCAGCACTAGTCCCTGGAAAAGCTGAGAAGTTTTGTTGTCTTGCTAGAGGTATGGGCCCTCCCTTCTCTGATATTGTCAGCCTGCATCTATTCCTCTCTTCCAATCCCCATCCTAGTCCACTCCATCTTCTAAAGCTTTAAGGTGAAACCCACATAAGAGGGAGGCTTCACGGGGCACCTGGGTGGCTCAGTCAGTTAAGGGTCTGCCTTGGGCTCAGGTCATGATCCCAGGACCCTGGGATGGAGCCCCACATCAGGCTCCCTGCTGAGTAGGGAGCCTGCTTCGCCCTCTCCCTCTATCCCTCCCCCTGCTTGCACATGCTCTCTCTCTCTCTCTCAAATAAATAAAATCTTAAAAAAAAAAAAAGAAAAAGAGGGAAGCTTAGCACGCACTCTATAAAAGGGGTAGATGAGTTTCTTCTTTCCTTTAATTCCCCCTCTCCTAAACCTGTCTTTAATTCTGCTCCCTACTCCCAAGTCTCAGGAGTGAATGTCTTAATGAGACAAGAAAGGTGACAGAAAAGGTCCACCTTTCTTATTTCCAAAAGCCGGTGATCAGTGTTGCCCAGGGTGCCTAACTGATCCCACTACAGAGGGGCAAGCACTAGGTTCTCCCAGACATTGACAGGCTTTCCAGCCAGATTAATCACGAGTTCTTTCCAATCAACCCAGTCTTGTTATTTGTTTGGATTATGGGAGAGCAACTTCACTGAAAACTGAGGGCTGCTGCTGCCTAAAATATTTCACTTTTTCTTTTATTGTATACAAACTATTGGGGCATGGTAATAGTCATGATTTAAGACAAAGTCTGTTATGTACTACGAGCCCTAGCTTAAACCCTGAGGGATCAGAAGTTTCCAACTCTAAAGCTGAGTATATATATCTTTCCTTTGTTTACGCCTATGTTTTGCTGATGTGAAGACTGTAGGGCTGGCTCTTAGATTGAAATTTTTACCGAATGTAATGGGGCTGGGAGGTGGGCAGGTACAAATATAGGCATAATTAACATGAGGCTCAATGCTGAAGTTGAAAACCATTTCTGATGTCTGACAACCATGAAAGTGCTCTAGACCTTAAATTGGAGCAATAAAGAATCCATAGCGGGCATTGGTTTGGGGGCGGGGGAGTATATGGGAGGCGTGATGTCTGTGGGATACAGAGCAAAGTCTGAAATTGTTTCATAAATTATTTTAGTTGTGTAAACTATTAAGTGACCTAAAGGCAAAAAGAGACTTTTTCAAAGATCAGCATATGAGAACAAGAGAATCACTTCAGAAAGTACTGTTTCCAAGTTTTTGTCTAAAGACCGAGAATCCTAAATATACAAGCTTTGGCCCAAATTCCAAATATATTAACTTTTGTCCCACAACTTTTGTGACTACTCTGGTGAAAAGTCCCATTTTGTTGCCATCTTTTTTCTTTTTTCTTTTTTTTTTTTTTTTAAGATTTTATTTATTTATTCGACGGACAGCGATCACAAGCAGGCAGACAGGCAGGCAGAGAGAGGAGGGAAAGCAGGCTCCCTGCTGAGCAGAGAGCCCGATGTGGGGCTCAATCCCAGGATACTGGGATCATGGCCTGAGCCAAAGGCAGAGGCTTAACCTACTGAGCCACCAAGGCGCCCCGCCATCTTTTTCTTGACAGCGAAAATCAAGGTCCTCAAATATATGAGGCAGGTAATCCTCACTGGGACAGAGAGGTGGGCCTGGGGTCGGATTGTCTTGGGGGGTCCCAAACAGGTGCCCGCTTCCGGCACTTAGTCCGTGGGAACATCTGTGCAGTGTTCTGAAGGGGCCGGGCTGCTGGGATCCTCGTCTTTCAGGCTGCAAGACATTTGATCCATCTGGAGAACAAGTTCCCGGTTGCTCTGGGCGCTTCGTTTACAGTGACGCTGCTGACGGCCCTCCGCTGGGCAGGCGCGGCTCCGCTCTGGCTCTACTCGCGTGTAAGGCTGACAAGGGGATGCTGAAAAAAGTCTTCCTTCAGGAGGAACAAATGGGGAGTAGTTGCAAGTTGGTCTTGGACAACTGAACAAACTCCTGTGAATTCCTTGGGGCAATTCCGGGAGGACCAGGGCTCAGCGTACTCCGAAGGTCCGGCGCGGAAAGGTCGAAAGCGGGGGGTGGGGGGCGGTAGGGGTGGGAGGAGGTACCATTCACAGCACCCGGGCCCTGGGGGACATCTTCCCTGCCCCAAGCAGCCAATAGCCACCCCGGCTGAGGCCCACCCAGCCAATAACCGACTTCAGCCGAGACTCACGCAGCCAATGGCCGGCCCAGTGCGTTCCGCCGGTGCCCGCCTGCCTACTTCCACCAATCGGGACACGGGCTACCTTGGCACCGCCCCTGGAGCCCGCCCCACCCATCCGCCCCGCCTCCAACTCGTTCGAGCAGGGTTGGGCTATACGGGCGCGCTCTCGGGGACAGGGGGGGCAGTCCCGGTCCCGGCCCTCCGCGCGGGTGGGCTTGGAGCAGGCCGCACCGGGCGGGAACCCCACTCCCACCCCGGAGGCCCCCTGCCCTTTCTCCCCCTTTCCCCCCGGCCCATGGTGCGAGGCTGGGAGCCGCCGCCCGGGCCGGACCGCGGTGAGTGATCCCCAGCCCCTTCGACTTCCCCTCCCAGCCCCTGTAAGATCTCCGACCTCCGGAGCCCCATCCCCGCGCTGGGGGGGGCGGGTTGGAGAATTCTAGGCTCGAAGTCTCCCCGTTCTCTCTCCTTTCTCCTCTGGACTTTTCGGGTTCCCTGTTGTAACTGGGGGAGGGTGAGTGGGTGTGTAGGGAGGAGGGGAAGGCTGGGTTGGGACGCCCCCCCCGCGAGGGGAGGATTGAGATTCGGCTGCTCCCTGGGGCTCATCGCCCCAAGTGCAGCAACTTTTTGTTCTCTGACCCACTTTGGAGCCTTATAGACTGCCTGCGAAATGGAGGATAGTAGAAACGTTTCCTTCCCAGGCCTCTCCTCCTCCCCCCACGACTACCTCCCGGCGACCTCAACACACATACAGAAACCTGGTCTTACTTCTGGGAAGCGGTGGTATTTGGGAATGAGAGGTTTGGGAGAAACTGCGCCTTCTGACCCCCTACCCAACCATACTCAGAAAACAAACCAAAAAAGTGAGAACCCGAGTTCTCAGAGGTTCCTGGTTTTGTGTCCTAATCTGAGACTTCTAAACTGAAAGACTCAAGCTGAGACCTGTTTGGTAATGTGGGCCCTGATCAGGAGATCTTTTATCATATGAACCTCCTCCTTACCATACATTTGAAGCCCTTCTATATTATATGAGTAGGACAGGTAAATGGCAATGATTGAAAAAAACAAGCCAGTTAAACTTGGGAATTTTTTTAAATGATGCATACATCTCTTAAGCATTGTCATTAAAAGTATGTTCATTGCACCAATCTTTTGGGGTAGTGTCCAGGCGTTTTCTTTGTGTAAGTCTGCTGATTGGAGTTCCCAATTGTCTTTCCATATAAACTACACAAGCGAATTTCAAATCTGGCTGCACCCTGAGAACTTTTAAAAGTACTGATGCCTGGGCCCCAGTCCAGACTAATTTAAGTCAAAATACGAAGGAGGGTTCCCTCGTTTAAATTTCCCAGGTAATTCTAATGTGCCACTGCCTGTAATGTATGATTTCAAGGGGTTTTTTGTTTTATTTATTTTTTAAAAGATTTTATTTATTTGCCCGAGGTCACAAGTAGGCAGAGAGGCAGGCAGAGAGAGAGGGGGAAGCAGGCTTCCTGTTGAGCAGAGAGCCTGATGCGCAGCTCGATCCTGGGATCATGACCTGAGCTGAAGGCAAAGGCTTCAATGCACTGAGCCACCCAGGCGCCCCTGTTTTGTTTTGTTTTAATGCAGTGAGAATTTAAACACTTTTGGAGCAATCTGAATGCAGAATACGTTTGCGATTTCTAAGTCCCCTGCCCCTCTAATCTTTTACAGTTTCCTGCTACTCCCAATTCAACAACTATACAACACCTTAACATTTGACTTTGTTTTCATAGAAACAATTTTTAGCGCACTAATTTTTCATCGGTTTACGTGATATTTAATTACATTATTATATAAATAAAGAAAAAACAGGCATAAACAGGTTGGGAATCACCCGCAACTGGTCCAGGTTCATAGGGCAGCTGAAGGAAACAGATGATTTTGGCACACTAGAGAGTAGCCTACCATCCTCTAGTACATAGCACACTGTGGGTGTTGGTCATATAACCCAGTGGATCAGTTAAGTCACGCTCCTGGCCCAGTTGAACACCTCTCCCTTCCACTCTCTCCAATTAATATCACCAGTATCCAGTCCCTTCTAGACTTAAATTCTCTTGAGTATTCCATCCACTCTTTCCATTCATTCACATCAAGCATTTTGTTCCTCTTTAAGCAATTACCATCACTCCTTTTTTTTTTTTTTTTTTTTTTACTAAGTTGGAAGGACATAAGGCAGAGGTTCTTAAATTGGGCTTCTGGGCAGCCAGTGAATCCTTTGAGATTATATATATAATGTGTAAGTTTAGATGTTTATGGTGGGGGTAGTCATAACTTCCTGAGTGGTCCATACCTTTATCTGATTCTCAAAGAAGTTCATGACCCCAAAAAGTTGAGAAGCACGTAAGTTGAATACCACTGAAAATTCTTTTAAGGCCCTTAAAACTGTATCACCAAAACACATTTCAGGCAGTACTCCAATTCTTCTCTGAATAAAGATACAGGGTAATTTTGCAGGATCATTAGTTTCTCATTTGAACTGTCTCCTGCTTTATCCATAAGTCTAGAATCAACCCTAAAGTTGTGAACACCTCTTTTTCCTAGGATTGTATGTATACCCAAACTGGAAGTTTTAAGTTAGTCCATTCTTTTCTGCCATCTGTCCACAGGTATGGAAAGCCCAAAGGGAATGAAGGGTGTTATCCTCTATATATGAGATATATATATATATATCTCATTATATTTTTTACTAGCTATTTGAAGGAGTGGTAGGGCATATATATTTAATAAGGATACAAATTTAGTAATTATTCAGAATTGGTAATCCCATCATCACTACCATCTCTGCCCATAGGAGTCTTTATTTTTCCAGTTTTGATTCCCTTCTTTTTCTACCCTTTCCAAATGGAGGTATAAGAACACAAGACACTGTAGTGTCTTCATTGTGGTTTTGATTAATGTGGGGTCTGTTCTCCTTGTTAGAGTTCTCATGAGCCACTCTCCAGTTGTAGTTTCTTCCTGTGTCAAATTCTTCCAGGGAGATACCAGGTAGCTAGCTGTACAGCTAGCTGTGCCTTGATTTAAGCCACCACTCTACATCAGGAAATCTTCCACAGTTTGTTTTGTGTAATTGGAAAACTGGATGTATGCAGTACCCCAAATAAGGTATTTGCATTACTGTGTGTTATACTGAAACATCAAACTGATACCATGAGAATCTGGAGGATAGCAAACCACATGAATGAAAACAAAATGCTTCCTTGTAAGGCTTATAGCTGTGCCTGTCTTATTTCCTGTCTGGCAGTCTTCATCCTTAGCTGGACTGCTTTATTCCTTAGGCCACAGTTTTCTCTTATCTAAAGTATAATTGTGTCCTTAAAAAACAGACACAAATAAGGTTAAGTAGATGTCAAGTGCTGCAGTCATAAAGTGTTCTGCAGCTTAGGTTGGCGGTATTCCTGGTGGGCCACAATGTCTGAATGGTGGTTTAGCACCCATCTGTGCAAGCAGTTGCTCACAGGCCACTCAGGTGTGTCTGGGATGAACCTGGAGGGTAAAGGTAGAGCTAGTACTGCATTGGCAATTCATCTGGCAGTCAAAAAGGATTTATACCCAAGATACAGATTCAATTCTCCTAAAGCTGTGATTTTCATACTTCTTTTTTTTTAAGCAGCATAATCCATTCTGGAATGATATCCAACTCCCAAATGTAAAGAGCATAAAATCATGGATATCCTGGTTTTCTCCACTGCTCATTAGAATTAGGACCCTGAAAAAAGAGATGGAAAACAATGATTTTAAAGAATGCAGTCTGCTTCACTTTTCTGCGTGTTTAGGAAGAGAATGGCATTCCCCTATATCAGAATCGCCCTGTGAGGCTGAAGTAATGAGAAAAGCTGCCATTTATTGAGCCTTTTCTTTGTTCTAGGCATCACGTTAACTGCATTTTTTTCATTTAGCCATAAACTTGGAGGAAGGTGCTGTTTTGACCGCCTTTCTTTCTGAGGGGAAACTAAGGCTTTGTGAGATTAAATAATTTGCCCAAGGACAGGCAACATGCTAGGAAGGAGTGGAGCTGCAGTTAATCTCAAATCTGCCTCACCCCAGACCCCCACCCCAACAGCTGTGTTAGGTCTTGCCTAGCACATAGTAGGTTCCTGGTAAAAATATATAGCTTTATAGACATGCAGCACTGTGCATTTTTTACTCATGAAGAAACTAAAGCTCCTTTAAGTTCAGTAGCTTGCCCAAGATCATATAGCTGGTAAGTGGCAGAACTGGGATTCAGACTGCAGGTTGGCCTTAGTCAGGGATCACATTTCTACCCACTGTGCCATGTTGCCTCCATTTATCCTCTTCAGGTTCTCTTCAAGCTGTATAGCCTTTAGGATCTGCATGGCCTTCAGTTCAATAGATCAGATTGTTAAAAGGAAATGGAGACTCATTAAAATGCTTCCAAATTTTTCTAATCATCATATAAAATCCCTTGATACCACTATGTACTATAATGTCCTGGACTTGAGATTCTTCTCGGTTCATCATGTAGTGTTTACCTAGGAATCCTGTCCCATCCTTAACATATCAGAGGTAAATATTTATAAACTCAGATAGGATTCCTCTGGCAGTAAAGGGTGACAGATGTGTTAAAGAGTTTCTAATACCCATCCAGAGAGCTGAGTTAAAACCTGTTCAGAACTTTTCTGGGAAATAACCTGAGCAGGTATTTCAGGCATGATGCAGGATCAGGGGCTCTCCCTGCAGCCCCCACACCCACAGCCCTGGGAGCAGTGGTGCTGCTGGGGAGCCTGCAGGACCTGGCTTTGATTCATAGTGCATCTACCCACCTGGCCCTGAGAAGAAAGCTGCGCTGCAGAGATAAGACTGGCAGGCCTTTGGCCCTATGTGGAGGGGCTGTTACAGTCTGAGGGAGCTCTCCAGGCTCCCCAGAGAGAGACTGAGCTCTAGGAAGAAACAAAGGCTGGGGGGAGGGGCTAACCTTTGTTCTGAGGATGACTTGGTGGAAACAATTCCCTCTCTCTACCCCCACAGGACCCCCAAACCCAGGAGGAGTAAGCCCCATTTATCCCAGATATCTGACCTGTGTCTTGTCCTACAGAGAGAAAATAAAGTGGGTTTGGTTTTAGGGCTTAAAGGCACTATCATTCCCCTCCCTGAAGGACTCCACCACCAAGAAGGGAAGAGGAAAGGGGGCTGGGGGCTGGGCAGTGGAACAGTGCTGTCCTGCCTTCTAGATACTCCTCTCTTGTATTTCCCACCTGTCTCGACATTCTAGAGGTAATCGTAAATTGCCAGGAGTTAAAGGAATTTGCATCAGTTTTGAGATTACTGCACTTCATGTTTTTGGGGTTGAGATTTCATTTTGTGACTCCTGTTCCATGGACTTAGAGGATGAAGTGAGTTTGAATTAGAAAAATTAAGGCAACATAAGGATGAGTTTTCCTCCTTAATCTCTAAAGACAGATTTTTGTCCTGGTGATAGTATTCACTAGTCATGTGACTTGGGGTAATTTAACTTCTATGGACTTTGGTTTTTCCATACATACAACAGGAATTTTAATAGGCTCATAAAGTTAGGAAAATTAAATGAGAAATTACTAAAGCACTTTAAAAGCAATCCAACATGGTACACATAGATAGTTGATTGTATTGGAGTCCAGCATTTTGTTTGGCAGAAATTGAGCAATAGGCTGAAAGAGGAGCCCCAGTGATTGAGCTGTTTCTCTTCTTATTACAGCTATCTCTGAAGGGCACAAATCAGAAAGCACCATGCCTCCTAATAAAGAGGCCAGCAGTCTTAATAGCTCCCCAGCGGGGCTCATCTGTCTGCCTCCAATCTCCGAGGAGCTACAGCTTGTGTGGACCCAAGCAGCCCAGACCAGTGAGCTGGATGGCAATGAACACTTGCTACAAACCTTCAGCTACTTTCCCTATCCCAGTCTAGCAGACATTGCCCTTCTCTGCTTACGCTATGGGCTGCAGATGGAGAAAGTCAAGACTTGGTTCATGGCCCAGCGCCTCCGCTGTGGCATTAGCTGGTCATCTGAAGAAATAGAAGAGACTCGAGCCCGAGTGGTCTACCATCGGGACCAGCTCCATTTCAAATCCCTTCTCTCTTTTACTCATCATGCAGGGCGGCCCCCAGAGGAGGTGCCTCCTCCATTGCCACCTCCAGAACAAGTGGGTCTTGGAATAGTACCCCTGACTCTTAGTGAGCCGACCCAAATGAAAGGATTGAAGGTAGAACCTGAGGAGTCCTCAGAGCTGCTGAGTCACCAGAAAGCAAAGGAACCCCTGATGGCACCTGGCAGTGGGGCATTCCCCCACCAATCAGATTTTTGGCAGGATCTTCAAAGCAGTGGCTTCTCTAAGGAGCAGGCAGGCAGGGGTCCCCACCAGTCACATGGCCTAGGTTCTGCTTCCTGGAACCACTCCACAGCTGTCCACCAGCCACATGCTCGGGATAAGCCCCCACCAATCTCACTACTTGCTAGTAGTTGTAAGCAGGAGTCAACATCTAATATGACTCCTCCTTCTCCCTCTACCTCTTCTTCCACTTTCCCGGTACTGGCTAATGGAGCTACTGCCACCTCTAAACCCCTCCAGTCACTAGGCTGTATCTCACAGCCACTGTCACCCAGTGAACAGGCACTGCCCCCACATCTGGAGCCAGCTTGGCCCCAGGGGCTAAGACATAACTCAGTACCAGGTAGGGTTGGCCCTGCAGAGTACCTTTCCCCAGATATGCAACGCCAGCGAAAGACCAAGCGCAAAACCAAAGAGCAGCTGGCTATCCTCAAATCTTTTTTTTTACAGTGCCAATGGGCACGGCGTGAGGATTACCATAAATTAGAACAGATCACTGGTTTACCTCGACCTGAGATCATTCAGTGGTTTGGTGACACACGCTATGCCTTGAAGCATGGGCAACTAAAATGGTTTCGGGACAATGCGGTACCTGGTGCCTCTAGTTTCCAGGACCCAGCAATTCCCACACCCCCACCTTCAACCCGCTCCTTGAATGAATGGGCTGAGACACCACCTCTGCCGAACCCCCCACCCCCACCGGATATACGACCCTTGGAGAGGTACTGGGCAGCCCATCAACAGCTACGGGAAAGTGATATCCCTCAACTGAGTCAGGCATCAAGGCTTAGCACCCAGCAGGTACTGGATTGGTTTGACTCTCGATTACCTGAGCCAGCTGAGGTGGTGGTTTGTCTAGATGAAGAGGAGGAAGAGGAGGAGGAAGAACTGCCAGAAGATGACGAGGATGAAGAGGAGGAGGAGGAGGAAGAAGAGGATGATGATGATGATGTGATCATACAGGACTGAGTTGGAGGGACTAGGGGAGGGAAGGTCTGTTACTAAAAGATGAACCAACTTAGTAACTGTTTAAACAAAGAAACCACATTTTTTAAATTACTTTGTGGCAAAGAACTGAAAAGTTTTGTGTTCTTGAGGTTGGGGGATTGGGAATGTAGTGAGGGTGGACCAGGGAGGATGATCTAAAGAGAGGTGGGGATTGGATGAGCAGAAATCAGTCCTCTCTTCTCAGTGAGAAGTGCGCTAAGGATCTGGTCCAAACCATGGGCTGGGAAAAGGCTTTTTTGCTCTCTTCATGTCTGCTGTTCTTTTCCCTTAGTGTGCTATGGAAAGCCCAGACCTTGGCCATACATCTATAGGAGGACTGGAAAAGAAGAGTAAAGAATTTTGATTCAATTGATGATTCCATTGCAGACCCCAGTCCCACCATTTTCCCTGGAATGTAAGGCTGCCTCACACCCCTTTTCTTTTCTGAGCACAAGTCCATGTATAATACAGCTAAGAGTCTTAGTATGTCCCAGTCTCATCACTAGTCTTTCCTTAATGCACACCAACGTGACTGTATGGTTTACCTTCCTTGTTACGGAGTTGCACAGGTAGCAGAATGTTTTCATTTCTGATACTGGGACCACTTTTGCCTTGTACTTTTTTTTTTGTTTGTTTTAATCTTTTTCCAAAGTCCGCATTCTGTTCACTATTTGTCTCAGGGTAAATCTTCCCCATGGAGCTTGTGAAAAGTTTAATAATTGGGTGGAGAATAATTTAGACTGGATATTTATTGGATGTGGGAATTAGGGGAAATGTCCTTTTAAAAGGTAGAATTAGGTTACAGAGGAATAGAGGAGAGGGATGGTTTCTACTGTTCAGAAGGTGGGTGTGGTAGGTTCCAGGTTTGGTTTTACAAACCTGAAACTCCTTCCTGTCTAACTTGACAGAGACTAATATTTCATCTTTTTTGGTGTTGGTTCAATTTATGTCTGTAATTGAGACTTTCCTCTCTTTATAGGATCTGTCTTGGGGACAGAGGGACCCAGGTCTTTAACTGAATTGATTATTGATGCTTTAGAATGGTTTCCATCAGATGGAGTCAGATATAAAGATTTCAATGGGTTAACCATCTAGAAATAAGAGTGGAAGCCCCAAATTGCTAGAATAATAATAAAAGGCCACAAATAAAATTGTTTCTCTCTCCTCCACTTTGCCACTTCTATGGTTTAGAGATTAATGGAACCAAATCCATTAACATTCTGATTTAGTATACTTTTTTTTTTTTTTTTTTAACAGCAGGATATATTGAGGTAGATTAAGAAAACAAAACTTGGGGCACCTGGGTGGCTCAGTCAGTTAAGCACCTACTCATGGTTTTGGCTTAGGTTATCATCTCATGGGTCATGAGATCAGGCTCCGCGCTCAATGGGGCCTCTGTGCTAAGTGGGGCGTCTGCGTGAGGATTCTCCGTCTCTTCTCCCATTTGCATGCGCACATGCACTCCATAAAATAAATACATCTTTAAAAAAAATTAAAGGAACAAGAACTTTGAAAGGCAGTGTATTAGCATCTATCACTGAGCAGATTTGTTTCCTGTACCTGCTACAGCACAGGCTCTTGCCCAGAAGAGGTGTCTAGAAATGCCTTTAAAAATAAATTCAGAGGGCGCCTGGGTGGCTCAGTGGGTTAAAGCCTCTGCCTTCAGCTCAGGTCATGATCTCGGGGTCCTGGGATCGAGCCCCACATCGGGCTCTCTGCTCGGCAGGGAGCCTGTTTCCTCTCTCGCTCTGCCTGCTTCTCTGCCTACTTATGGTCTCTGTCTGTCAAATAAATAAAATCTTTAAAATAAATAAATAAATTCAGAGTTCCAGAAAGAGTTGGGAATCCTAGTTCAGCTTCAGGGTCATTTCCAGGACCTAATTTATTTCTGGCAGATGTCTGCTATCTTTACACTTTTTCAATATTTTTGCTTATGGTCTCCCTGCCAGTGGCTGACTCATTTAATTCCTCATTTCTGTTTAGTACCCAAAGAAGAATACAGGTTTCATCTAAGTTGTGGTGGTCTTTGCCCATTCCACCATTCAGAGCTTGTAATATAAAACCAATAGAGTTGCAATAACAATAAAAGGACACCTTTATTTTATCTATGTACTTTAGTAAGCTGAAAGTCTGGGTCTCAAAGGAAAATCAACATAGTTAACTAGGCATAGAGGAAACAATAGGCAAACATAAGTATAATAAATTAGGAGAAGGAACAGAGTTGGTGCTTCTTAACATTGGCAATGGGAGAATATATCCAAAGCTGAAAGAATGAAATATAGAAATAAACCATACTTAATGAGTATATTACCTCACCCCCAATGATGCCAAGAATTGTTTTTACAACCTTTAAGTTGCAGGAAATGAGAGAGCTATTTGAGTGTGGGAGAGATCTAAACATCTTCCTGTAGTACTAGCCTTATATAATGTCTGACCATTTTCCTAGAAGGTAATAGAGGATGTATATCATAAAAGTCAAGAGAGTGAAACCAGGAAACAAGGCAGGGAGACATTTTCCAAGGCACTTAATGGGTATTGGATGCTATAGGCCGCCTTTAAGCAACATGTTTAGATCAGACCTTGAAGACGATCTATCTGGAAGTAGTCCATGCTTCTCTTGACCTGGCTAATCCCATCTGTCTCTGTTCGTAGAGAGTCTGCAGCAGAGGGAAGGAAGGCAGATATGGGCATTTATAACAAAAAGGGTAATTAAGGCCCTCTCAAACCATTACATGAAGTTTATCAAGACAGCAGGTCACCACTGCTACTGCCCCATATTTTCTCCATTGTGTGATGAACTAACTTTTCCAAACTAAGATTTGACTCACTTAGTGTGACAGGCTTTGTTGCTAATTATGAAAATCTTAGAACATTTATTGTCTTATGGTAATAAGGCAGAATATTAAAAAAAAAAAACTATCTTGGAAGATATGGAGAGGAAACTGGAGACTATGCCAAGAGAGGATTAGCAGTGAGGCAGGATTCTTATGCCTCTGGAGAGGTGACACTTCCTTTAATAACTTTTTAAAAAAAAACTTTATTATTGAAGTTTTCAAAAAATACAAAAGTAAAGTAGTATAATGAGCTGATAAGTACCCATCACCCAACTTCAACAAATAACTCATAGCCAGTTTTTCTTTCATTTCTCCTCTCTCTCTCTCCTATGTCCACTAGATTATACTAAAGCAAACCCCAGAGAATCATTTAACTTCCTGTCCTTAAATATTTTAGTATGTTATCTCCAAAAGGTAGACTATTTTTAAAAATATAATAGCCATTATGCCTACAAAAGAAAACTATTAACAATTCCTTAATATCAAATATCCAAGAGGTGTTCAGTTTTCAACTTTCTCATAAATGGTTTTTGTTATTTTTTACAGTTTGTTTCAATCAGGATCCAATTAGGGGCCATATATTTGTAGATTCTTTTTTCATCTGTAGGTTAACCTCTCCATTTGTGAGGGTCTTAGGGATGTTATTTCCCCAGTGTTGCCTCTTAGGGCTTAGATCCTAATTTTTTGCCAATGAAAATAAAGGGCATTTGGAATACAAGAGCAAAATACTACCTATCTTAGGATGTTCTTGGGGTCACCAGGAGCTTGGCATTGAAAAAGGGCCTAAATATCCTCAAAACCTGGGCCATAAAAGACAACTTAAAAGGCAAGACTAGACTTTCCATGTAGAGCTCCTTACAAACCTCTCTTCTCGTTCCCTACCCTTTTTCTCTCATTGCCTATATCGTATCAGAGTCCTGTAAATTTATAAAGCATTACTCTAACCATGTCTAGAGAAGTGCACATAGCTTTTCCTTGTTCAAGCAGTACCTCTACCCAAAAGATCTATTCCATTGAAATATTTTTTTGTGGAAATTTTGGGAATGTTAGTTGTGTACACACTTAGTTCACACTGGCTGAGACCTTTCAGTTTAAAGCCATTCACTACCATGTGACCTCATTTTTAAACCCCAAACTAGGAAGCTAATCTTGTAGTAGGATAGGATTTTTGAAATGGAGACCATCCTGATAGATTGTGAACATATGATTACCACATTTGAAACCCATGTCATTCTCCACCGGTTAGATTCTACCACCTCAACAGGAGACCAAAAAGGCATTTCATGTGTAGGCCTAACCATGTGTTTTTCATATGCAGGCAAGTTAGATTAGCCTGGGCTCACCTGCTGAACTGGTAGCTGGAAACCAGGAAGACACTCTAGTGGGGTTCTGCTTTCCCTCTGACCTGAAGGATAGAATTGGAATGGTGAAAGATAACTCCCTTGGGCAGTTCTTTGGCAGTTTTACTTATGGGTCAGGGTAAATAGGTAGGTCTTAATCTGTAGAACACTAGTCAGAAAAACACTTAGCTAAGCAGTTTAAGTAGGTTATTAAGTCCATTCTCTTCTTAACTTCTTTTCACCTTGAAAATCTTTATTTAGTATATATGTCAATGGTTAGCTCCATTCCTTTGGGAATGTTATTTAACATACCTGAATTGTTGGGGGTGAGGACTCTTGTGTGGCCTGAATTCCCACCATTTAGTGATGGTCTAAAAGAAAAAATCCCCTGTCCCAAAGAAGCAGGTGAAGGCCTAAGGAGGGGAAAAAGAAGCATCAGCAGAGAAAAGGAAGGTAAAGGGAAAAAGTACATGTAAAGGGAGAGCCTATATATTTAGACAAGACAGGAAATAAATACCCTGCTTGTGACTGAAAGTAATTTGGACATATATAAGACACAGTACTATTAAATGCTCTCTTGTTTACAAGGTAGATTTTTAAACTTCAGTGGTATAAGCCAGTAGAAAAGTAACCCCAGGACTGCTGGCAGAATGTCAGTGTGAAGAGATTCCCAGTGAAAGGAAGCATAATCTCTTACCTATAAGAAAAGCTGTGAGTAGAAGCTGGTGAAGGGGTTTCTGGAAAACATAAAAGTGAAGCTATGAGATAACCCATAAACTAGAGAAGAGATTCGTTCAGGTATGCTTGGGACCAGGGCAAAGAAACTGGACACCAAAGATTTTCAGTTATGTTAGGCTTAGGGAGTCATATTAAGTCAAAAATCTCACAAATCACCTAGCAGTATCTCCTAAAGG